CTAGATCAGGGATGGGGAACCTTTTATGGCTCACTCAGGAATTCTGGGAGTTGAAGTCCATAAGTGATAGAAGAGCCAAGTTTCCCTACCCCTGATGTAAGGAATAGATGCAGCATGCAAGCGGTATACAAAAATCTAAGTGCAATTGCTATTGCTATTTTCCTTTGTTCGAAGCCAGCTGGGAAATTCTGGGAGTTGAAGTTCACCCATCTCAAAGCATCCGAGGTCGAAAAATATCGATGCGAGGAACAGATGCACTCTGAAGCGGTATAGAAGTCTGCTATTTTTTTTTCAGCGGTGTTGCAACTTCGGTCACTAAACGAACCATCGTTAAGACAAAGGCTACCTTAACCATTTGCAAGGCAGCTGCTCTTTTGCAGGAGAGACTCTGGGCATCTCCCACCTCCTTCCCACAACCCATAATTCACACCTTCGCCCTCCCTTGGTGCACGAGAGCGATGCCCACCTGGCTCGTGCGAATGATCAGACGGTAGTTGTACTGCGGGCCGGCGCTTCCTTCCTTCTCTTCGCGACGGAGAGAGATGGCGACAGCGCCCAGCTGATCGTCCACCCCGAAGAAATTTTGATGTTCTGGGGAAGACAGCGGAAGGACCCATGTGTTTATTTAAGGCACACAGAGAAGGAAGGCGAGAGCACACACCCTTGGAACAGGCAGCTGCATTTTAGTGCCAAGGTTTCTCCTTTCCTAAACCAAAAATATTTGAAAAGAGGAAACACAGGATTTTTTTTTTTTTTTTTACAAAAAGGAAATGGTAATTGTTATAGTAGGGCCCTGCACCACAGGAAGTGGAGATAACGCACAGCACGAAAAATCTAAAAGGAAAGATAACACAAGGATGAAATGTATGTTGCCTAGATGGTGAACTGCAATTGTTTGGTCTTTTACTGACACTGACGGATGCCTTTCAATAAACTTTTTTTGTTTGTTTTTACCTTTCTTCTCCAGTTGTGTTTCTCAACCTTGGCCACTTTAAGAAGTGTGGACTTCAACTCCCAGAATTCCCCAGCCAGCATGGATTCTGGGAGTTGAAGTCCCCACGTCTTCAAGTTTCGAGTTTTAGAAACACTGCTCTAAAATAAATGAATAGTTTTCCTTTTTTCCTTCCTTCCTTCCTTCCCTTCCCTTCCCTTCTTCTTTTCCCCTCTATTCATGGCTAACTGGGGAATTCTGGGAATTGAAGTCCATGCGTCTTTTAAGTGGCCAAGGTCAAGAAACACGAGTGGAAAAGACAAGTTAAAAAAAAAAAGGTTTATTGAAAGGCATCTATGTCACTAAATTCAATCTCAGTCCAGCATGTTGTGGGAATTCAAAGTTCTTATTTTTAGCCTATTGTACCAAGTGGGCCATTGAATTACAGGTAGTCCTTGACTTATGACCACAACTGAACCCAAAATTTCTGATGCTAAATGACGCATTTGTTGAGTTTTGCCTCATTTTATGACTTTTGCCAGTTGGGAAGTGAATCATTGCGGTTGCTAAGTGAGTAACACCGTTGTTAGGTGACTGGCTTCCCCATTGGCTTTGCTTGTCAGAAGGTCAACAAAAGGGGAATCACAAGACCTGGGACACTGCAACCGTCATAAATATGAGTCAGTTGCCAAGGAACTGAAGTTTTGACCGTGGGAATGCTACAACGGTTGTAAGTCTGAAAACAGCCGTAAGTCACTTATTTTTTCAATACCTTTTCCCTTGGAAAAGCAGGAGAAAATACAGTAGTTGAGCAAATTTCCTTAAACAAGGAAAGGCCAAAACGTGGCCCGAGAAAGGCCGCGCCAACTTTCACCAGGGTTACGCTCTCTTCATTTGCTCCAAAAATTCCCCAATTTGGGGTAAGAAAAAAGAAAAGGACACGTTGCTCGTTTGTGGTGGACATGTGTAGAAGCTAAGAGATATTGGACAAAAATACATACATGGTTGGAAAAGATGATAAAGCAACCTAGAGGCTTAAAACCTGAAATTGATTTTTTGTTGGGGATGATACCTGAAAGTTATAGCAAAGAAAAGGCATATTTAATTATTTATGTATTAACTGCAGCTAGAATAGTATTTGCTCAAAACTGGGAAGGTGAAAAGATTCCAGTAGAAGAAAATGTGATCAGGAAAATATTAGAACGTGCAGAAATGAACAGATTAACGCTGGCAATTGAAGAAAAAGAACAAACTGAATGTTATATGATATGGGAACTATTTTATCAATGGTTGGAAAATAAAAATGGAAGTTAGAAATTAAATGTAAGAATATAGAGGAGGAATTAAGAAGGGGGTGGCTATAACAATAAGAGATATCATGTGTAGTAGTTTGAAATAAGGATGAAATTATTATTGTTACGGTATGGAATCTGTATTAATTAGAAATATTATCGCACAAGGTATTTGTAACAAGATGGCACACATTGTTTAAATGAAAGATGGACTTGTTTGTAAAAATAAAATACAATAAATAATAATAAATTTTTTAAAAAGATTGCTCATTTAACTCTAACGCAGAGAGGATGAAGAGAATGAGCCACGGCAGCTTCTGTGAGAACTTGTCATGTGAAAGGGAAACAAACTCAGGCAAAACAGAGATTGTTCTAGCTTCTATTTTAAAAACAAGGGAAGGACACAGTCAGAAGTTCTTAGCCACACAAACATCAAAGTCTTCCATCCTGGGAAGAATGGCTAATCTGGTCAGGGCAGACTGCTTTGATGTCCCAAATTACTTTGCATTCGAAGATTAAATCTAAGGGAAGAACTTAATTCCAACTGGAAACAGCTCCTGAACTTCAGTTTTAAACCAGAGATTATTTCTACCCCACTCAAATATGGCTTTTTAAAATGTCTGGTTTGTCCTCAACATACGACCGTTATCGGCATCAGTATTTCCGTCGCTGAGCAAACCAGGGGTTCAGCGAGATGCGCCTGACTTTACGCCTTTCCCACAGTTGTTAAGCGGAACACTGCAGTCGGTAAGGGAATCGTGCGGGCCTTAAGTCAAGCCGGCTTGACTTTGCTTGCTGGAAACTGGCTGGGAAGCTGAAAAATGGCGGAATCGTGAGACTCCAGGATGTTGCAACAGTCATAAGTACATGCCAGTTGCCACGCTCTTAAAATTCTGATCACGTGACCAAGGGGATGTGGCCACGGTCATAAGTGGCTGAACAGACCGTGAACTCACTTTTTTTTCAGTACCGTTGTAACTTAGAACGATCGCTAAATGAATGGCTGCAGGTCGAGGACTACCTGTGTTTCAATTTTACGAGAAATTTTACAAAAAATGGCAGCTCATTGAACATTTTTCCCTCTGCTCTGCTCCTCCAACCCATTCTCCCTGCCGCCCCTCGTTCACCTTTGCCGTAAAAATGCTTCCGGTAGTAACAGGCTCCGAGATCGGCATACTCGATGGCGTGCATCACTCGGCTGCTCCTCTGTCCGTAACTTTCACGGGGTTCCTCCAGCACTGAAACGGCCATGTTTGGACAGTGGAAGCCCACGGGCAGCCCCCGGTGTTGGCCTAGTCCTTGTTCAACCTCCCCTCCGGCTTCTACCCGAAAGGCGGAACAGCTGAGCACCAGCATGCCTCCTTCCTCCTCTTCTGCCCCGTCCTCAAGAATCGGCGTCACGTCCGCTGTACGGCACTGCGAAGCTGCCGAGGCACCCGTGGTGACGTTGCCCTGCCTGGCGGCTTCCCGGACCCCCTCGCCCGGCTCAAAGAGGATACTCTGGACGTCATAGTGAGCCAAGTGGCGGCCCCACACCGGCGTGGCTGCCTCCGGTGCGGGAAGCGATACACTGGTCTCCGTTGACGGGGCGCCGCTCCCATCCGATTCCCAGACATCCGAGGCTGCCAGTCCCAGCAGGAGCAGGGGATCGCGGAAACGCCGGGCGGTGGGGCTGCCCGCCCGTGACTCTTCGTGGCTGTGTGCCCGGGCTCGAGGGGGCGCCATGCTCTTCGAGGGCATGCTGGGGCTGCTGCTGCTGTTTTGCTGGAACCCCGTTACGGATGCCACGGACAGCGGCAACGGGGAGCCGGGAGCCCCTGCAGCAGTCGTCAGCTCCCCTTCGCTCAGGGTCACGTCGCTGTTGCTGCGATGCATTAGGCCGCTGCGCTGCGGTGACCTCAGCGGCGGGCCACAGTGGCCCACGAGCGGGCCCTCGCACGCCTGGGGCTTAGGGGCCCGGAAGTTGTCGAACGAGAAGGAGGTGAGTGGTGGACGGTTCGAGTGGCGTCGCATCTTGCGAACGAAGAGATCGTCCGACTGCATCGCCACTGGCCGGCGTGCGCTCAGGATTCCGGATCCCGCCCTTGTCTCTGGTTGGAGGGAAGGCCCTGCCGCCTCTCAGGCTCGCCAGCCAATCGCGGGCTCCTGAGACAGCCAGTGGTGAGGGTCAAATGGACAGAGAAAGACAGTGCGCTCCCCATGGAGAGACGCTTGCAAGCCGTTCGGGAGAGGAGCAATTCCTGGCGCCCGCTTCCACTCCACCGTTGTGAGTCAGCATGCGGCAGACATGGCGGTCGCGAAAGCTGGGAAGGGGCAATGGTCCCGCGTCATCTTGGAAGTGTTTCCTGGACAAAGAAAAGAGACAACGAAACGTTACAAACAGGGTTGGAATGCACGTTGCATCGGAGTGAAGCACATCGTTCACCAATATTTAACCTTATGAAAAAAAATACAGACATTGCTCTATTTTTGCCTCATGTAGGCATTATATGACCACAGTTGAGCCCACACGTCGGTTGCTAAGTGAGACATTGGTTAAGTGAGTTCTGCCCCCTTTTATGACCTTTCTTGCCCGTTGTTAAGTGAACCACTGTTCAGTTAGTAACAAGGTGAAATGAATCTGGCTTCCCCACTGACTTCGCTTGTCAGGAGGCCGCTAAAGGGGATCGCGGGGAACCCCGGGACTCTGCAACCGTCATAAAAACGAGCCAGTTGCCAAGTGCCCAAATTCTGGTCAGGTGACACAAGGATGCTACAACGGTTGTGCATGTGAGAACCACCAGAAGTGACTTTTCCCAATAAGTAGAATTTCCCCTGTAGAATCTCCCTTGGACGTCCTCGGAGAGTTGTGAATTTGGGTACTTTTCACATGCGTTTTAACAGAATAGAGTCACCGAGTGGGAAAGGACCTTGGAGGTCCTGTAGTCCAACCCCCTGGTCAAGCAGTAGATCCTATACCACAAGAGTCATGCTGCCAGCCATTCAGCAGTTCAACCCTGAGCGGCTCAAGGTGGACTCAGCCTTCCATCCTTCTGAGCTGGGTAAAATGAGTTAGAATACAGACTGCCCACTGCCAGGAGTTCGATCCTGTTCGGTTCAAGATTGACTCAGCCTTTCAACCATGCGAAGTGGGTAAAATGAGGACCCAGATTGTTGTGGGGCAAGAGGCTGACTCTATAAACCGCTTAGAGAGGGCTGTAAAAGCACTGTGAAGCGGTATATAAGTCTAAGTGCTACTGCTATTGCTCTTTCGCCCTCCCTCCCTCCCTCCCTGTTAGATTGCAGCACAAGGTTGACTCAGCCTTCCGTCCTTCCAAGGTAGGTAAAATGAGGACCCTGATTGTTGGGGACAAGAGGCTGACTCTGTAAACCACTTAGAGAGGGCTGGAAAGCACTGCGAAGTAAAATATAAGTCTAAGGGCTATTGCTATTGCCTGCCCTTCCTTCCTTCCTTCCTTCCTTCCTTCCCTCCCTGTAAACCACTTAGAGAGGGCTGGAAAGCACTGTGAAGCAGTATGTAAGTCCAAGTGCTGTTTTCCTTTCCTTTCCTTTCCTTTCCTTTCCTTTCCTTTCCTTTCCTTTC